AAAAAAGATGTGATGGAGGGGGCAGCTTTGGGCCCCCTCTGCCGCCCCCGGCTGCCCGGCCGGGATCCCTTGCCCCCCCCGGCCCCTTGCCGCCCCCGGCCGGATCCCGCCGCCCCCCCACCTGCAGACGGTGATGAGGTTCTTCCTCTCCACGGCGATATTCCTGGAGGAAGCTTTCTTGGAGGAGAGCCCCAGAGCCATGGCCGCCTGGATGCAGCTCGCTGCCATGCAGCGCCCGCCGAGGCGGCCCCGGCGGGCGAGACCCCCCCGCCCGCTCAGCGCCCCCCCCGGCCCCCCCACAAAAAGCCCCCCGGCCGTGCGCAGCCCCCGCACGGCTCCTGGAAGGATGCACAGGATGCGGAGAGATCCCGGCTTCCGTTGGGATGTTGCAGCCCCTGGAAGGATGCTGAGGCTCCGGAGGGAGGCACAGCCTCCGGAGCAATGTGTGGCCTCCACAGGGATGCCCGGCCTCCACAGGGATGCCTGGACTCTGCAGGGATGCCCAGCCTCCGGAAGGATGCTCAGCCTCCGTAGGGCTGCTCGGCCTCCATAGGGATGCTCCAGGCGGGCAGGGGGATCTCCCCGCCCTCCGCCGCCCCCCAGCACCCCCAGTGGCCCCACGGGAATGGAGGGAAGGGGGAGGATGCGGGGAGCAGAGCAGGGGGCAGGCGCAGCCCCTGGCTGGCGCGGGGGGGGCTCCGACAGGGCCCGGCCCCTCGTGGTGACGCGTTGGGGACGGTCGGGACCCCGCGTGGCCGCTCTGTGTCTCGTCTCCCGTCCCTGTGTGTGCCGCGACACGGTGGGGTGTCACTGTCACCACTCAGGGACCGGGGGCAAACGCCACCACTCGGAGCCACTGTGGCCCCACGCATGGCCGAGGCCACCGGCCTCCCTCCACCCTGCCGCCGTGCCTCAGTTTCCCCATCGGAATAATGGGGGGAAAAAAAGGGGAGGGAAAAACCGTGCGCTTCAACACTGCATCCCCAAAGCAGCCGGTGGCTCAGGGAGGTGGCAAGGGAGGTGACAGAGGCACAAGGGAGGTGACGGAGACACCGAGTGCCCGATCCTGCCCTGTGCAGGGGAGGGACGGAGGGCCCGGGCTGGGGGCGCGGGCTGTGCTGGGAGGGGCGGCCTTGGCAGCACCCAGATAAGGGCGGGCGGTGCCGCCCGGCTAATCGCAGCGCCCAGCACGGGGCCACCGCGCCCCCCGCGCCCCGCTGCGCCTCTTCAGGGTGCAAACACGCGCGCACCCACGGGTGCACGCACCCACCGGCACCTGCGGACACATGTGTGCACATGCGTGCATATTGCGTGGATGCAGGGGCACCCACCTGCATGGATGCACACACATGCATACACATGCACCTCTGCATGGATACACGCACGCACACGTGTGCACCCATACGCATCCCTGCATGGATACACGCACGCACACGTGTGCATACACGCGCACGCTTGCGTGCTCACACGTGCACACGCGTGCCCCCTGCTCACTGCAGGACTTGGGGCTCTTCGTGCCAGTTTGAGGCAGGAATTGGGACTCCACTGGGGGGAGGATTTGGCACATTGGGCCTGACCCCCCCGGTGAGCCGAGGACCCCTGGGTCTCACCCCTGCACCCAAGGGACACCCTGAAGCAGGGCAGGGAAGGCAGCTCTCCTGCACCTTCCCCGGCACCTGTGCCCAGCTGGGATTCCCTGGAAACGTCCATGGATGGAGAAGCTCCAGGAATTGCAGCCTCCCTGCAGACAGACAGACAGATGGACACGTCCTCCCCACACCACCCGTGGGCCCTGCCACTGCCTCGGCTCCATGCCASTGGGGAAGCCTCCCTAGGAATCTTGTGATTTTTTTTTTTAGGTAAAAAAAAAAAAAAAATCAAATCCCAGTAAACAAGTTCCGGAAAGGGGATTCCCGGGGCTTCCCCGAAGGGAAACCCCAGGACGGGGGTGATAGGGCAGCGGGCTGGGGGTGCGGGGCACGGCGGGAGCGGGGTGGCCGGCCGGGGCCACGGGGCCGGCCGGGGCGGCCGGGCAGGCAGCCAGCGCTGTCCCCGTCACCGCAAGATGTTGCGCCCCGATAACCTTGTTTACGGGGCCCGGGGGGGCAAGGGCGGGCGAGCGGCCGCGGGCYGGTGGCCCCTCCAGATTAGGGGCCCAGCGTGACTCGGCATTCGGGAGCCGGCCGCGGGCGCGTCGGTCCTGCGGCGCCGGCAGCAGCGCGAGCGCCCAGGGCAGCGGAGGCGCCGGAGCCACCGCGGGCGGTAGGTGTGAGGGCGGGCGCGTTGGGCGTCGCGGCTGGCGCTATGGGTGCTATGGGTGCCGTGCGGTGCCAATGGAATGGGCCTCCTGCAGTGCCAAGCAGAATGGGAGGGCAGCACCCCCAGTGCGGGGCGGGTGGTATGGACATCATGCTGGGTACACTGGGTATATGGGGTGGAAGGCGGGAGTCCCCTGCCGAGTCATACTAGACACGGGAGGTATAGGATCCATACTGAGCCCATGCAATGTATGGCTGTGGGTTCAGTGCTGAGCGTCTAGGATGCAAGGTGTGGGAGTCATACTAGACACGGGAGGTATAGGATCCATACTGAGCCCATGCAATGTATGGCTGTGGGTTCAGTGCTGAGCGTCTAGGATGCAAGGTGTGGGAGCTATGGACTCTATATTGAGCCCATAGGATGCAAGGTGTGGGAGCTATGGACTCTATACTGAGCCCCTAGGATGCAAGGTGTGGGGGCTAGGTACTACACGCCGAACCCTTGGGATGCAAGGTGTGGGATGCAGGCGGGATGGCTGGTGCGGGAGCTACGTGCCCTGTGCTGAGGCAGTGGGAGCTCCGGGCTCCGTGTGGAGCCCCCACGATGCTGCGGGTGCTGCTGGGGTCTGGGGCCGCCTGGAGCCCCCAGCCTCATCCCCCAGGGGTGGGGGCTGGCGCAGATGGGGCTGCCGGAGCTGGAGCCAGGGCTAGCAGAGGTGGTGATGGGGCTAGCGGAGACACAACGGGGGCTGGCAGAGGCGCTGGGCTGAGCAAAGCGATGCAAGCAGAGATGAACCCGGGGCTAGCGGAGCCGGGTAGGGGCTAGCGGAGCCGGGTAGGGGCTATGGACCCAGGTAGGGGCTAGAGGAGCCGGGTGGGGGCTAAAGGAGCCGAGACAGGGCTAGTGGAGCCAGGTGAGGTCTAACAGAGCCAGATTGGGTCTAACAGAGCCAGGTGGGCGCTAGTGGAGCTGGGGAGGTACTAGAGGAGCTGGATGGGGGCCAGTGGAGGCAAGTGGAGGCTAATGGAGCCGGGTTGGTGCTAGCGGAGCTGGAATGGCGTTAGTGGAGACAGGTCAGGGCTAGTGGAGCTGGTGACAGGGCTAGCGGAGCTGGGATGGGGCTAGCAGAGCCGGGATGGGGCTAGTGGAGCCTGGACGGGGCTAGCGGAGCCAGGTTGGGATTACTGGAGCCGGGTCGGYGCTAGCGCAGCCGGGACGGGGCTAGTGGAGCCGGGTCGGCGCTGTCAGACGGGCCGGTGCCGGGGCTCAGCGCGGCGGCTCCCCGCCGTTATCAGGCGGCCGCAGCCGGGACAGGGACCGGAGCCACCCGCGCTCGCCCCGGGCCCGGCTGGCGGAGCGGGCAGCGGCCCCGGCCGCGGCCGTGGCCAGGCGGGGCAGGAAGGAGGCGGCGGGTCCGGGGCGGCTCCCGCGGCCCCGCCGGGTCCCGCCGGGTCCCGCGTCCCGGCCCGGAGCTGCTGCGGCGCCTGGTGAGAGCGAGGGGTCTCGGACCCCCGGGCCCCACCCCCGGCCTCGCCCCCCCGCGACGTGGCTGCCGCACTCGACGTGGGTGCCCCCCATCCTGGGGTGCTGCGGTTTTGAGGGGGGGGGGTCCCGGGGCGCCCGCAGCGCCCCTCGGTTCCCCTGACAGGAGGGAGGAAGTGGGTTGGGGGGACGGGGGATGGGGGCACCCCGGACGCCTGGGCCCCCCCTCGGTGCTGCCCCCCACGCCGTGCAGGTGGCGTGGGAGAGGGGCGCCCCCTGGCGGTGTCGCCGGGCACTGCCCCGGGGCAGCTGCGGGTGCGCGGCCGTGGCCGCGGCTGCACCCGTGGGAGGCCCCGCGTGCCGGGGGCGGCCGCGTGGGCGCCCTGCTGGGGCGGCGGCTCCAGGGGCTCCGGGACACCCTGCAGCACCGGGGGCAGGCGGCGGGGCGGGCAGTGGCTCTCTTGGGTGCTGGGGGTGCTGGCTCCCTCCTGCCCCCGGCGGTCTCCGGGAGCCCCTCCGGGCCTCGCTTCCCCCTTGCTCACCCCGGAGCTGGGTCTGGGCCAGGGGGACATGGRGCTCTCTGCACGTCATGACCTGGGGGTGGCCATGGGACCCAGCCTGGAGGCACCCCCCCTCCCAGGACCTGGGTTCATTCCCCGTCCCATGGGACCTGGCCCCGATGTCCCTGCAGAGCCTCCTCCTGACGTTGGTGCCTCCGTTCCCATCCCGCTGCCGGCGCCCGGACGTCCCGTGGGACAGGGCAGCTCTTCCCAGGGGAGGCCCCGGGCCGGGCGCAGGGCAGCCCCCCCCAGACCTTTTGCAGCGCCTGGGGAGCCCATTATGTGTCCCACACGTCGGGACTGCGGGGACGTCCCCTGGCTCCRTCCTGGGGGAAGCAGCTCTGCCGCAGTGGAGGCCCAGGAGGAGGCCAACCTCCCACATTCCCCCCCCCAGTCCTAACGTGCTTTCTGTGCCGCCTGCCGCAGAGCCGGGGCCGCGGGGTTATGGTGCCCCCGGGCTGAGTGCTGGGAGCCAGCGCGGCCACGGCAGGGCCCTGCGAGGAGCCATGGAGGGGCCAGGCCAGGTAGGGAGGCACCGCCGGCGGCCCTGGCCCCCGCTGCGCCCGCGGCCCCGGCCACGAGCCGGGGACCCCCTGCCCACCCTCACCTTCCTCTCGCCCGCAGGACGACTACGAGGAAGTGATGCGGAAAAACCTGGACCCTGAAGGCTACGAAGACCCTGGCATACGGACCCCATCCATCTCACTGGGGGAGATGAGCAGTGAGTGGCTGCGCTGGCTGCCGGGGAGGCTGAAACAGGGGTGGATGCCAGGCATGCATGGGTGCCGGCACTGCATGGGCACTGGCATTGCATTGGCATGATGTGCATGGGCACCAGGGCTGCATGGGCACCGGCATTGCATGGGTGCTGGCATTGCATGGGTGACAGATATTCATYGGTGACATATTCATGGGTGCTGGCATTGAATGGGTGCCGACATTGAATGGGTGCCACACATGCATGGGTGCTGGCACTGCGTGGTCACTAGCGCTGCATGACGCCAGTGTTGCATGGGCAATGGTGTTGTGTGGGGTCAGTGTTGCATGGGGACTTGTGCTCAGTAGGTGCCAGCATTGCAATCACGGTGGCATTGCATTGGTGACAGCATTGCAAGGTGATAGTGTTGCACGGGCACCAGAGTTGTGTGAGTGCCAGCAGGGCATTGACAAAGATGCTGCACAGAGAGCCACGTTGCATGGGCACTGGCATTGCAAGGATCCTGCACTGCAAGGGTGTCAGCGCTGCACGGGCACTAATGTTGTATGGGCACCAGCACTGCAAAAGTGCCACGGAGCCTGGCACAGGTGACGCGGAGGATCCCACCACCCAAAAGCAGTGGTGCCCCTTGCACTGGTGCCAGTGGAGGTGCCAGCTCCCACTGCTGGCTGCAATGCCGACTTTGCGGCAGCCAGTCCTGGGCTCCGTCCTTCCCTCTGCCAGGAGSGGGGACAATTCCCAGCAGTGAGCATGGGCATTTATTCTCCCAGTGCTGTCATGTGTCCTTGTCCAGAGGGTCCCACTGGGATCATCCCCGCAGGGCTTTTGTGCTCTGTTGACTTGGAGGCAGTGCCCGAAGTGGCACATCCAGCCTCCAGGTATCGGGCTCCAGCAGCCCGGCAGCCGGCTCGGCTCCGTGCTCGTTCCCACYGGCTCCATGCTCATTCCCGCCGGCTCYGTGCTCATTCCTGCCAGCTCGGCTCYGTGCTCRTTCCCRMYRGCYCCATGCTCATTCCTGCCGGCTCCATGCTCATTCCTGCCAGCTCGGCTCCRTGCTCATTCCCGCCAGCCCCGTGCTCATTCCCGCCGGCTCCGTGCCTCCCGCTTGGCTCCGTGTCCCAGCTCAGCTCCGCGCTGGTTCCCGCCRGCTCCCGCTTGACGGCTGGGGGCGACCGGGAGCCTCCGCCGTCCTTTAGGGGCAGGGAAGGGCACYGCAGGCAGCGGAGCCCGACGGCCGCGGGTGCTGCCAACGCCAGGGTGCAGGTGGCACCGGGGGGTGGCCGAGGACACTGCGGGGAGCCTGGGGAGGGGTGGCCGCGGTGACGGTAACGCCGCAGCCTTTTGTGCAGGGGCCGCTGGCAGCGGCACCGGGAGCCCCTGGCCCCTGTGGAGGGCGAGAGCCAAGGAGCTGGCGCCCCTGCGGTGAGTCCCGCCGCCCCCCGCACCACGGTGTCCCCGTGCAGGGACACCGCCGTCCCTGCCGCCCGCGGGGGTCACCCGCCGCCACCACTGCCGTGTGTCTTGCAGCCAGTATTTGCCCAGCCACCGGGGATCCTATGACCTGGACGGGAGCCAGCGGGCGGCCRGGGAGCCCCCGGGCCGGGGGAGCCACCGCCGTCTTGGGGGGCAAAGTGAGTGACCCTCCCTCCCGCCCGCTCTGCTACAGGCATTAGAAGGGGGCACAACTGGAGCCTCGGGGGTTTCTCGGCTGCGCGGCGCCGTCTGGGCTGCCCCGGCGTGCCCATCACCCTGGCGTCGGGGCCGCCGGCGCGCCCGCCGCCGGGTGACCGCTGCCACTTGCCCGTGATCGCCTGCTGATTGACGCTAAATAAAGTCTTTGTTTGGGGTGAGGACAAGAACCACTCGGCGCTGAACGGCGGCAGGYGGCAGCCGGCACCAGGCGGCTCCGGGCCGGGTCCGGTTGGGATGCGGAGCATGAGGCCTCGGCGCCGGTTCAGGGGGCAGTTTGCAGGGGGCCCTGCATCGTCTTGGCTCTGCAGAGRAGCCCTGTGGCTCATTGGGCACGGCTTGGGGCTGTGCATGGGACAGGGGGCACCCTGTGCACCCAGGGGACACATCAGTCCCCAGGATGCCCCATGCCCAGGGCCATCCGTCCCCTTGGCACCYGTCCGCCGGGGCGGCCGCGCGCCCGTGTTTACAGTCAGCAAAGACGAAGCGCGTTGGCATTTACGGGGCACGCGAGGCGGGGGCGCTGGCCCCACGCGGCTTTATAGGGCGCCCGCGCACAGCGGCAGCGGGGAGCGCACGGGGGGGACGCAGGTAGGCAGGGGCTGGGGACAGCACCGGGTGTCGTGGTGACATGGAGGGGCCGTGGTGAGGAYGGGCCGGCGCCGCGCGGGCACCGGGTGCCGCAGGCAGCGTCGCGGTGACCCTGGCATGCAATGGCCCCATGAGAGGCTGCTGCCCGGCTTGGGGACCCCGGGGACAGAGCCCCGGCCCTTGGCAGTGCCCGGCACCCGGGGAGGGGGTGATGAAGGGAGGACAAGTCCCGCAGCACCAACCGGCGCTGCAGTGGGGGTGACAGAGGTAGGGGACGCGCCCAGCACCCCCAGGGGGGTCTGGGTTGGGGACAACAGGTGGGGGAATGTGTTCAGCCACCCCAGGCAGGTCTGGGATAGAAGTTACAGARGTTGGGGACAGGTCCAGCCACCCCAGCTGGGTCTGGGATGGGGACAAAGTATGGAGAACACATCCAGCAAACCCAGTGGGGTCTGGGATGGGGACAGCAGATGGGGAAGTGGGTCCAACAACCCCAAYGGGGATAGGGATGGGGGTGCCAGAGGTGAGGGACACATCCAGCATTCCCCAACAGGGTCTGGGACAGGGGTGGCAGGCGGGGGACACACGGGATGGCCACGGGCCCGCTCACGGGGCTGCCGCTCCTTGCAGCTCCGTCAGAGACCGATGTGGACCTGGAGGCGGCGGGGAGCAGGCGGCCCGTGTCCCGGCGGGACACCCATGAGGTGGGTGCTGCGCGGGGCACCGCGGGTCCCCGGGGACGCCGGAGGAGGCCGCGCGCCCCAGCACGGTGACAGCGGCGCCTCCGGCCACAGGGCTACGTGGAGCTGCACGAGCTGCGCCCGACGGAGAAGTGCTGGATGGAGGCCGGCCGCTGGCTCTGGCTGGACGAGGACGCCCAGGAGGGCGGCCCCGTGCCCTTCCTGACCTGCCGCAGCTTGCAGGACATCAGCCGGGCGCTGGGCACAGGTGGGGCGGCGGGACGGGCGGCGGGGCGGGCGGCGGCACCGTCCCGGCGCTCACGGGCGCTGTCCCCGCAGGCACCGTGCTCCTGGACGTGGCGGCCACGTCGCTGGAGGACGTTGCCCGCTCGCTGGTCGACCAGATGGTCAAAGAGGGGCAGGTGAAGGCCAAGGAGCACAAGGCCGTCCTGAAGACCCTGCTGCTGCAGCACAAGTAGGGCCCCGTGCCGGGGTGTCCCCGCAGCCCCGCTGCGCCGTGGCCGTGCCCGCCTCACAGCCGTGTCCCTCTGTGTGCAGGCACCCCAGCAAGGGCGAGAGGAGAGAGGAGCTGGAGAAGGTGCCGCGGGAGCAACAGCCCATGGAGATGTCACTGCTGGCGGTGGGCGAGCGGGCGAGGAGGGTGCGGGACGGGGCAGGTTTCCACTGCGGTGGGTGCAGGTGTGCATGGTGCTCAGCTATGTGCATGCATGCATCTGTAGGTGTGAACGTGTATGCATGCTGCTGCAGAGTCCTGGGCATGCGCATGCATGCTTGCACCACCATGCACATGCATAAAACATGCAACTTTGCATTGTCACGTGCATGCACATGCATGTGACCTTGCACTGCTGTGTGATGCATGCATGCACACGTGCCCTTGCACTTCCACATGCATGCACTCTTGGGCATAGGCATGCATGTACATACAAACACCGTTGCATGCATGTATGCACATGCACGCACTCTTGCACAACACACATGCATGCCCCCCTGGCATGTCACACACATGCATACACACGCATGGACCATTATACATCACATGCACGCGTGCATCCCCTCAGTGTCATGCACACTCATGCACCTTTGCACACACATGCACGCACTGCATGCTGCTGGGCAGACGCGGAGGTGCGGGATGGTGCGTGCGCTCCAGGCAAGCGTGCACATCTCACCGCGGCCTCCCCGCCTTGCAGCACGGCGCGGCCGAGCCCCTGCTCCCCGGCAAGGTCCCCAAGGACGCCGAGGCCTCGCTGGTGCTCGTGGGTGAGTGTATGGGTGCCCGGGGAAGCGCTTTGACTTGTGCCCCTGCTGCTGCTTGCTCACTCGCTGCCTCTCTTGCCTTTTCCTCTCTCTTTTTCTCCTGTCTCCTGCCAGCGCTCCGTGCTGCTGGCTCTGCTCCCGGTCCCCTCCTGTGACCCATTCCCATATGTCTTCCCTGTGTCCCCATGCCCTGGGCGAGTGTCTCCATGACTCCCCGTCCCCATGGCCTGCATGGCTCCACCTGCTCATGTCCTTGCGCCCCTGCGTCCTCACGTCCCTCACGTCTGCTCCCCCTTTCCCCCTGTCCCCAAGTCCCTGTGTCCTCGTGCCTCTGTGCTACTGCCTCCCCACCCCCCCATCCCTCTGGCCCTGACATCCCTGCGTCCCTGCGTGTCCGTGCCCCGCGTCCCGTGCCCCGGTGACCCTGTCCCGTCCCGTGCGCGGCGCCGCGGTCCCGCCAGGCTCCGTGCCCGCCCTGGAGCAGCCGGTGCTGGCCTTCGTGCGCCTGAAGGAGGCGGCGGTGCTGGACGCGGTGCTGGCGGTGCCGCTGCCCGTGCGCTTCCTCGTCGTGCTGCTGGGCCCCAAGAGCCGCCACGTGAGCTACGGCGAGATCGGCCACGCCGTGGCCACCATGATGTCCGACCGGGTAGGGCTCCCGCGCGCCCCCCTCTCCCCACGTCCCCCTGCACATGGGGTCCCGCGTCCCCTGCTCCACTGGCCCCTGGGCCCCAAGACCCGGTGCAGCCCTGGCCCTATGTCCCCGTGCTCCTTTATCCCGTGTCCGCGTGTCCTCAACTCCTTTGCTGCTTGTCCCTGTGGTTCCATGTCCCCCTGTTGCCATGTGCCCGTGTCACCATGCCCCCGTGCCCCTTTACCCCTGTCACTACATCCTCATCTCCTGTGGCTCCACGTCCCTTTGACCCTTATCCCCATGGCTCCATGTCCCACATCCCTACATCCCTGTGTCCCCACATCCCTACATCCCTGTTTCCCCGTGTTCCATGTCCCTGTGCCTCGTGGCCACATGTCCCCGTACCCCCACATCCCTGTGTCCCCATGTCCCCACACTCCACATCCCTGTGTCCCCATGCCCCTACGTCCCTATGTCCCCATGTTCTATGTCCCAGCTCCTTGTAGCCACATGTCCCTGTGCCCCTGTGTCCCCTACATCCCTGTGTCCCCATATCCCCACACTCCACATACCTGTGGTCCCATGTCCCCATACCCCTGTGTCCCCATGTCCCCACACTCCACATCCTGTGGCCCCATATCCCTACATCCCCATGTTCCCA